ATATGTCTCCAACAAGGTGTTAGCCAACTGCTATGTCTCCAACAAGGTGTTAGCCAACTGCTATGTCTCCAACAAGGAGTTAGCCAACTACTACGCCTCCAAGGGGTTTTTAAAATGAAAATATGTTTTTTTTACTTTTTGTTAGAGGGATTGAATTAGCGTATCACATGGCAAGAAGTACCACTGCTTTCTAGTTCGCAGCCTTGACTCAATCAAATACCTAGTCAGTATTGATGTTATGTACATACCTATACTATCTTCATGTTCTTTGACTTTGATTTCAGATGCTACCCTAGCTTTGTCACTTTTTTCCAGTCTCTGTAGAAGACTTGGTATATCTATTACAGCGCCTTGGTACATCACCAACCCAGTCTCATTTTTTATTTTCTCATTTATAGCGACTCTTGAATCCAGTCTTTTGTTTGCTGGTAACAATGATGTATTCCCTATAAAAATATGAGATAACATTCAAAAGGTACGTTTACAACAAACTGAGCAAAGATAAAAGCTTTGTTGGCACAGAAGAAAAAACAGTAAAAACCACCCAGATTTTGTCATTGAGATTAGAACAACTGATTACTTACTTTTGTCTACAGTCTAAGCGAATTCACGTTATTTCTATGTGTAATATGACTAGACTGTGGACAAAAGTCAACAGCTACTCAATAATAATTTGAATAAAAGTAGGTAATCAGTTGTTCTAATCTCACAACATTCAAAGCAATCTCAATGACAAATCCTCTGTAGTTTTCATGGTATCACAATCATAGGTTTACCTGCAGCGATCTCCTCATCCGATGATGAATCAATTTCTGCTTTAATTTCCTCTTTATTTTTATCTTTACTGTATCTGTCTGTTAGTTTTCTATAGTACAAAGGTGATAACACTTTCTGCACAACTTTTCTTATCTGTGAAAACAATTCAAATAACATGGCATAGTAATGGCTTACTGGTTAGCATGTCTGCCCAGCATCTTGGAGATTCCATGCTCGACACCAATGGGCGGTTGCACATTAAGCATTTAAGAAAAAGGACATACTGCCCATATGCCATTGGAATGTAATGTATTGAACACCTCTTGCCAAAGTAATTAGATTCACATCAGCTTCCTTCAAATACCAGCAAAGCATAGACTTCTGCTTTTAAGTGAGTGACTGAAGAGTCTCATTATATAGTTGTCATCTACGCATGTGTCAGACTGCCATAGCGCGTCATTGTTTACAAACAAGTGTCTACCCATGAGCCGTTGCGATTTTAGCGCGTGTTATCATCGCCTGGGAATTAATTCCGGCGTGCCCAGGTGACAACCTTCTCGCTCTTTTTGGTAGTAGATTAATAAAATCTCTGAATTAGAACTCGCATAAATCGTATTAATCTTAAGACAATGAGATATGTAAAAATACTACACTGTACCTGTGCTCGTGATAAATGCAATCCAACAGTATGCAAAATGTCCTCTATGTCCCGGTCTAGAAGATAACCACAGTGACTTTGATCAAAATACACAAACGATAATAATAGACGAGGATCATGGGTAATGTCCCTTTCTGGGCTACCACTTCGACTTCGTTCCTTGTGACTGGACTCTCCTGTACTGTGATGCGAGCGTCTACGGCTATCCTGTCTTTTATCTTCCTTTTTCTTTTCATCTGAAATTGACAAAATTAGATTCATTTGATGAAATTGCTGGTGATGTAAATGAAGTGAATAATACATGATTTAGAATATTATTTTAAAGCACCACATCTCGATTCTGCAATATGATTGGCCATTTCATGATCGAGTGAGCTTTTATTTTATTTGTTACATGGAAACAGCCAACATTTTTGGAGCTGATATTATTTTGCTAGCTATAAAAATACTTTTTTTTTTAATTTCACATTTTTTCAATATTGCAGGTTGTCACCTTTAACGTCAGACTCTTCATCCCCTCCTTCCTCTTCATCTTCTTCCTCACAATAATCCTCTTCTTCTTCGTCCTTTTTATGGTCCTACAGATGATGATAAACCACAGAATTTTTGTTATAAGTTATCATCAATAAATGATGATGGCCATTCGTCACATGAAATCAACACAATTTGCTTCAAAGCATTTGCTACAGATGAGATAATTTACATCAGTAGAAATATCAGTGGAGCTCAAATTAAGCACAGGGAATACAAATGAGTTACTCCACATATATTTTACTCACTTTATCCTCCTTTGTATCATCCTCATCTGTTTTTCTTTTCTTTAACCGTGGTTCATCGTCATCTTTACTTTTATCCTTGTTTTTCTCTTTGTCTTTACTTCTCTCCTTTCTATCCTAAAACACATAAAAGTAAACTTATTTTTCTGATAAACAAACGGATGGATGCACAGGCACTACCGGTACTCTACATCACCAAAACTATTTACTTCACACAGGTCATAACCTAGATGATAAAACAGATTTAAACTTGGATAACGGGATTGACAGGTCACACTTACCTTGTTTTCTTTATCATTTTTCTTTTCAGGTATTTTCAACAATGACTTGTATATATTAAAACCAAAATCTCTCTGTAGCATCTCATTAAATAACTCAGCAAATAAAGACACCTATAAAATACATCAAACACGCGATGTCAGGAAATGAAATCAAAGTCATGACCCTGAAATTCACACATCAGAGTACATATGTATGACCATTAAAGGTAAACCAACCCCGCCCCCCAGGTGCAATTTTATAAAAGTAATCCAAAATACGGTATGACAGTATACAAATTGGAATGACTGAATAGAAGACAAGCAGCCTATCGGCTGAGATAGCTCCGCTGTTAGAAATGCACATTTCAATTAAAGAACTGAAGACCATCATCAGAAAATGAACAATATGTATAGTATCAAAGCAATCGGACTTACAGTTTTTAACAAGAAGTCGAAAATATCACTTTCTACCAAAAATGACCAAAATATTCACCAAAATTAGAGAATTGAAGATATCATCACGAAATGAACAAATCTGAGAAAGGTCTACATGTAGTATCTATATATGTAATATCAAAGCAATTGAACTTTTGGTTTTTAACAAGAAGTCGAAAATATCACTTTTTACCAAATATGACAAAAATATTCACCAAAATTATAGAATCCAAGATATCATCACGAAATAAACAAATGTGAGAAAGGTCTACATGTAGTATCTAAATATGTAATATCAAAGCAATTGAACTATTGGTTTTTAACAAGAAGTCGAAAATATCACTTTTTACCAAAAATGACAAAAACATTCACCAAAATTAGAGAATTAAAGATATCATTACAAAATGAACAAATCTGAGAGAGGTCCACATGTAGTACCTATATATGTAATATCAAAGCAATTGAACTTTTGGTTTTTAACAAGAAGTCGAAAATATCACTTTTTACCAAATATGACAAAAATATTCACCAAAATTATAGAATCCAAGATATCATCACGAAATGAACAAATCTGAGAAAGGTCTACCCAAGGTACATATACACCAAGTATCAAAGCATTCAGGCTTGTAGTTTTCAAGAAGAAGTCGAAAAAGTAAAACATTGACATGGACAACGACGGACAATCACTCATATGACAAGCTCCGCTCGACAAAGTCGACAGCGGAGCTAAAAAAGTGCCACCAAAATTTAAACTGAATGAATCATTTTGATGTACACATTTTTGTATATCACACTAGTCTTACCTCAAAGGAATGCTCCTTATTGTCTTCCATTCTGTAGTCTAATAAGACACTTAAAGACACCACAGAGCAATCAAATTTACCACCTTTAGCCGTAGTTGATGGATGCACTATAATAGCGGGATCCTCCGGTAATGTATGCCGTTTCTCTTTGATCAATCGATCCTTTTCCTCTTGTTTCCTCTTTTCTTCCTCCTGCCAAGATAACAAGTTTGAGAGATTAACTGTCAGGCATGGAATAAATATTTGTGGTATTGCGTAATTTTCAGCTTGTATTTTGTGGAATTTTTAACTGAATTTTCACATTTGCGCCAACTTAAAGTTGTATATATTGCATATAGATTCAAAGAATATTAGGTATTTAACTTAAACTATTAATTAAAAGTTGTTATCGTGATAAAATGAATTTTGAAAGTGCCTGTGAAATGCCACCCACACGTTTCTTGTTATGTTATTGATTGTGTTGTAGCCACGCCCACCGATCCTGAAACAGTTGACTGTTTCCAGCTTTCCAACTCCAGCCAAAGTAAAAGTGCACCACCAAAAGTATGAGAGGAAGTTATACTCTCGTGCAATACTTTTATAATACTACATCATTTAACGATATATATTTTTTAGTCAGCGCTTTTTTTTGAAGAGTTTCAGTAAAACGAACATATTTACGAGTTTTTTAAGTGATCCAAAGGTGTAACATCAGTGGAGGATAGCCGTAAAATCAATGAAACATTGAGATGGACCTCCTCCTTATCCCATCATATACAGCGTCCATTTTATCCCAGATTCTTTTGCTGAACAACTCTTCACATTTATAAAATAACTTGGATTTAAAGTCAAGAACCGAAAACTTAAACCTGGCACACTAATCTAACAGTTTTTAAAGAACCAGATTCTAGACCAGCACATGTTAACCGTGGCCGATTTCTAAAGGTAAATGTATCAAGTGATTTGGCTCTTTGGGTTATCAATGTTTTGCGACCAAGTATTTTCTAATGTGATGTCGTAATTATCGCAAAATGAACTGAACATAGTGTATATACTATCAGTGTATACATTTACCTCCTTTTTATCTTCTGAATTCATTTCAATTTCTTCAACTTCTGTTTTCGCCTCAACAAATTCTTCAGGGTCTTCATCAGCAATGTCTTCTTGCTCTTCAGACTCTGCTTCCGTTTTTAAAGCCTTGGTGAGTCTTGCTATCAGTTGTGATTTCAATCCTTTGGAGTTGATGCCCCTTGCTTCTAGTTCTTTTCTAAGATCACCAACCTACAAAAACGCCATATTGGGTACATGCTGAGTTTACCTGTTAACAGGATTGATTTTGTAAAGGTCTTGTGTTACAATGAAATTTCAAAAATAAACTTGGGTCACCTTGTTGACTATTGGGGTAAGAAGTAGTCAAGAAAGCCAGTAAGTTGGCTGAATGGCGATCCACTCCACTTAAACACGTTTTCAGCTGTTGTCATGGTAGGACATGAACATAAAGCTAACATCGGTTTACAACTAAAATCTCAGCCCCATATTAGCAAAGAGCATTCAGTCTTTTGAAGTCATGTCACTTACTACCAGTCTTTTTCTGTTATTATATTCATGCAAGTTGACCTTTAAACCTAGATTTTAATAGATGACAAACTTTTTATTTCTGACCATTTTGTGATTGTATTTTCTAGATTCTTTGAAAGAATGGAGCATTTACAGTTCATTCAAAGTTGAGTTGATCCAGCGTAACAATGTCAGCGTTGGTGGTCTCTCGTCGGATCGCAACTTAGCCATGATCATTTGAACACTGTTACAAGACTGGTGGCGAAAGCATTCAAAAATCAGTTTTTTCACTGTTGCTAAAGCCAGAAATATTTTTCAGATCTTATCACCCAACTAGAGTGTAGGTATGACATGCTTACAAAGAATGAACGAAATCAGCGCAGCCAAAAAAAAAAATCACAGAAGAATTAATAAGTGAAGACACTGAAAATCAAACACACAGACTGACCCACACTCTGATGGTTTTAAACAACAGAATGCAGTTTTTGCTCTATAGGTGAAAACAAATGTTAGAGATGAGGGGTGACTAGTTAGTAAAATTCTACTTTCAACAAAACCATCATTAAATAGATATTTATACAGCAATCCAAATATCACATTTCCTCAATTACATGTAGTAGTGTATGTTACGAGCCTATAGTTAAGTTGTATTTTAATGATACAATAAACATATAGTTGGTTCTTGTGCACTAATAGAGAGAGGAAATACGATACCCATTGTGTCCCAGTCCACTACAATGTCCCATCAATAGAGTGGCTTATAAATGACTTTCTGTCTTTCATAATATTGATTGATAAAATGATGTTATGTTATTTAAAATTCGTTCACATTCTCAAATTAAGACTAGCCGTGAATTTGTTTCTTACACCTAGCCAGTAATACCATCAGCTCGTTGGCTGACAACAAAGCTGTACTGTGAGTAGTGTTGCTTTCAGGAAGCCAGATTTGAAAGCAAAATAGCTTACAACACAGCTGCATTGTCAGCCACTTAGGTGATGATATTGCTGGATAGGTGTATACAGCAACATATTCAGCCACAGTAAAACAAGAAGTTGACTATAGCTATGATTCAACCAAGAAATCTTACCTTCATATTACGCGGATCCAACAACTTATGGTGAGTAGGATTTTCAAAATCATCATCATCTTCAACAGCATCTGTGCCAGCTTCCTAAAAAGACAGTTAGAACTAAAATGAGAGAAACGAAATGATACAATGACAGCAACCTGTTAGCGGACACAGACAAAGAAGTAACACCAAACCACGAAAATGATATACATATATAAGAAGGGAGAGAAACTAAGTTTTTAAAGAGCCTTAAAAATGGATGAATACACTTAAAACATGTGCAGACCAAGCTACAGTTTTACTTTTCAATGTTTTCATTGGTTAAATCACTCCAACTAAATTGTTATTACTCTTAATGACATTTCAAAACAGATTATATTATCCAGTTTCTTTCCTACAATTCATTTGTCATGAAAATAATTGTACTTCACCTTATTATGGTTCTGAAAACAAAACGTACAGCTTGATTAAGGAAAGTGTGTAGAAGGAAAAAAGGGGTATGGGCAGGAAATTTGTGTTTCGGTCTCATCTTCATGCTTGTAATGCGTAAAACAGAAGGTGCACCATGACCCACCTTCCCATCATGTACCTCCTAAACTAGTCTAAAGTATTTGGAACTGAAACAATGTTAACAATTTTGTACACCAATGGTCAGAACTGGCAGGGTTAATGCATGATGATCACGTCACTGCAACATGTATAAGACTCGCCCCACACTTCTGCTTTCGTAACGAAACAACGCCAGATATTTCCATGCCAAGAGAATGGAGAAAACCAAAATGAAATTGAGTATGTGTGTGTGGGTGAGTGAGTGTGTGTACGTTAACAAACAAAGCGTATTAGCATTCAGTGCCTGTAATTGCTCTGCAACGTCCTCATGCTTCTCTGCTATCTTGTCTACCAGCTGTTTTTTATAGTCGGCACTCAAGCCTTCCCATTCTAAACGAGTAGGTAAACAATGCCAGACGTCCGGCAGGAAAATTACTACGGTTTCCACTCGAGCGGGCACCAAGCGGCCTTTGTAGATCTCCTCAGCTCTGTGGTAACGCACTTCAGCAAACCGCCACCTGGTTGGAAAGGGTTCAGATCGCATAACGGTTAAAATATTCAAATGTTTAAGTATCTTGTGTCTGTACTGCGTGATGTCAGTTTTGTGATGGATCTGAGGTGTTGACACTTATCACATCCCTGTAACTGCCATGTACCAACGGTAGTTACAAATCAGATACAGCCCCTTCAAGTATGAGAATTTGACTAATGTCACAGTGAAAAGTTCAAGTTATAGGCCACACTCACTCTCGAGTTATACTTTTTTAGCCTAAACACACCCACTTTTAACATGACCATGCCCATTTTTACCCATTTTGGGGGGGGGGGGCAGACTAAAAAACTAACTCACATTCATGACGAAAATTTTGTGACTTCAAACTACTAACTCAAATTGGTTAACGCCATTGTGTAACTTCAGATTAGTAACTTGAAGTTTGAAACGCGAAAGTGTTTCAGTCACATGATCAATTATTGAAATCATGTCGCCTTCAAATTTTGGTAACCTTTTTTATACTAGGTAATCAAAGACTAATCCATTTTGTTTTAAATGCGACAACAGTACTTTATTAACTACAACATTTTGTTTGTATGATGGTGTTGTATTGGTAATTAAAGTACTGTTGTCAGATTTTCATAAATATGAATATTTAAAAAAGTGACATTAACAAAATTTGAGTTTGTAACTTAAAACTATGCAGTAGTGTCAACAATTCGCAAAATGGTATTCATGAACTTTGATACATGTTGTTGCCCCCCCCCCCCCCAAATGGGATAAAAGTGTGTGTGATCAAGTCAAAAATGGGTTTGGTAAGGCAAAATACAACAACTCAAAGAGTGAGTATGGTCTTCGAGTTGTGACTGACTGTAAATGTAGCAGCCCCACACAGTTAGGTAAAATTCAGTTCTGCAGATAACTTTTATAAATAATTTGTACTCAAGTTTTGAGCATTTGAGGATTTACTGACATGAAAGCTAGTTTTAAAAGTACCATATTTGCTCTATTCAGTTGACTTTATATGACAACTTAATAAAGTATTGACAGCAAGTCTCAAAAGTATTGGGGCAGCCAATTTGCAAACTTGCTAGCAAATTGGCTAACTGCAAGGATTTTGACTGTTGACTGAACAGTTCGCTTTCAAATCTTGCTAGCATCGACTTGTGGCTGCGTACACTCTGGGTGAATCTATATTGCAGTATGGGGACATAGAATGATTTTATGTAGCCTGTCATGTTTGGGATTCCCTTTTTCAAAGTGCTTTGCTGTATTACGCATGTAGTGATAATGTAAAAGTACCAGGGAGTTTACAATTACCAAATTGGTAGCCAAGTTTGAGTAACTTCAAAAAAAAGTCTGCTCATCCCAATTTTTTTCAAAAAAATGCAATTCTATCGCAAATTAGGTGTTCTGTCATAATAATGCCTTTCTCTTGCATATACAAATGATAATAAGATAAATATGATTAATTCAAAGATATTTTCTACATTGTATATGGAGGCAGCCATCTTGAGTACGGCTTGAAACTAAAAGAGACAATTTGGAAACAGGTTTTTAAGTTTCCTACAAATTAGAGAAAACAAAACTTTCACAGCCAAACAAACCATTGGGGCATCATTTAGCCGACCACTAATAAAATTCAACTACAATCGTCATTTTTTGCGTGGAAAATCCCTTCGCCCATAGTGGGCGCGACCACAAGTTGATGCCAGCGAGGTTTACTGTTTTACTGAAAACCCAAGCAGTTTGCAAATTGGGTGCCCTAATACTTCCGAGACTTGCTGTAAAGGGTTGTGAATATATGCGCAAATATGATGTGTACCGATGGGTCATAGAAGCCAGAGTTCTGAAAAGGTATCCAGTGCATGAAATCTGTAGTGTTAATAGTATAGTAATACAAAAAATTGTACACCAGTGTATGCCCATTTTTTTATCTAAACAACTTGAATAATCATATTTCAGATCATCTCACAAATCAAATAGCATAGTTGGTAGACACGTATTCCAGTCAATGCATGCAGGTGATGTTAGTTATAACTTCATGCAAAGCACTTAGTATTAGGCTCTGATATGGCAGCAACTTATAAGATTGAACAAATAGAAAGCGACCACATATACACATACCCCCTACATACACACATGCATGCACACATCATTTGTGTTGTTACTTTTCCCCTAGTGGCACAGGAATCATCAGTAAACAAAAACACGTGTGCAAAAGAATGAATGAATACAAATGAACATTGACAAATATATCACTGAGAAGATAATGGCAGGGAAAAAAACTACAGGAATATGAAACAAACGTGTAGTAAAGATATTTGCTTAATATTAAAGATTAGCTTGTTGTGAAATGTGTATATTCAAGTAGAAAACAGCAACCCATACAAACACACATGAACATCGCATAAAACAAAATTAATAGAAATATATCTTACCAATGGGTACAGGAACTAAGATCAATACCAGTTAATGACCTACACGTTCGTATAGCAGTATTTATGAGGACACGGTCGTCACTTTCGGGGTTTTCCCCATCGATAGAAGGAGACCACGGCCCGCCAATGGCGATGGCTTCGTTTTTACCCTTCATACCGACCAAGAATTGAATCAGTCGAGTAGGATGCTGAAAGTTGTCTTTTAACTCTTGTGGGTCTTCAGCTAATGCACATGAACGTTGATACAGTTCTTGCAGCGGAGGTGAAGCCATCAACATGACCTACATCAAAGAAGTCAATCATTAGTTTCAACCGATTGCGACAAAATAATTGAATTGAAGCTAATTAATTTGTTATTAATTCGGATCGTACCACTATCATTTGGGTAAAATTTTGGATCGTACCACTATCATTTGCATAAAATTTTGGATCATACCACTATCATTTGGGTAAAATTGTGATGTTTAAATTAAAGAGACTTCACTCTTGGTATCGGAAAGTTAATAAAGATGACTTCAACAACATACAAATATTTTTTCGAATTTTTTGGAAGAAATGAAGTCCTCAATATATCATCATATCATTATCATCCTGCCCCATCGATAATATTGTGAGAATTCTTAAATTAACACCTATGTTAAAGGCACATACCATGACCTGAGTTAAAGGCACATACCTTGGCACTGTATAAGTGATCAGCATCAGCAGGCTCTAAGAGAACTTCTGTCTTATTCAATGGTTCCACATCTTTATGCATAATGTGAAAGCTACATGGATTATCTAACGCTAGTGGGCGATGTATTGAAAAGGCGTTCATCCAGTTGAAGTTCGCATTAAAAAAATCACTTGGTATGTACATGTTGTTGTATCGTCTACGTAGTTCAGTTACATTCGCCTGAGGTCTAGAAAGTGATGGGGAAATAAAAAAAAGGTAGGTCAGCTGACTATATCCTGAAAATTGTCCTGCCTAGCAACCAAATATTTATGCCCACTTTTCATAATTTTTACAACATAGGCACATTTTCCAGCTTTTCTTATGTTCCATAGTTTTTGTTTTACAAAGAACTTGCCAGTGTTGATTCCACAAAAGATTGATTTTTTGAAGTATAAAATACAATTATTTATGAGTGCTCTGAATTTTTCATAGTATAATTAGATACAACAAGGAAGGATGGATACAATGCCCATTTTGATAACCATTTCACACAAAATATTCTACTGTATCTGCAGCTATTTATGCATCAATTGATGTCCCAGGTATTTTTTCAAACAAGAGAACAGGGGCGCAGCACCCTCATGCCATGGCCATGTGCCCCCTAACCCTGGGGAGCAGATCCTCTGGCAACCATAAAATTCTGATTGTTTGAATGTTTTTTTGTTTGTTTTGAAATATACAAAGTACAAGTTTCTTTTAAATTTCCAGTACTGGTACTGTAGCGCAACTAAGATCAATAAATAATATGCGTTTTACTCACATATCCAGGGAGAATTTAGAAAACTGGACAACATAACGTGGAACAACACGTCTTGGTCGAGGAGAACGCCTACGAGGGGATCTAGAACGCTTCCTGACAGGAGAACGTTCACGATGTCTGAGTTCACGTTCCCTTTCACGCTCTCTCTCTCGTTCACGTTCTCTATCACGCTCCCTTTCCCTCTCACGCTCTCTTTCTCTGTCACGGTCTCTTCGCTCATCTCTCCGTGGCATTGCGGGTGGTTCTCGTCTACGCACAGGTTGAATTGAAGGTCTACTTGATGGTGGCTGCAACAAACTTCCAGCTACGAAGACAAAAATAATAGAATAAATTACGATAGTCTTAAACAGCTCTACAAATTTTCTACTTTTTTATTTATCTTAATATTGTTATTCAATAATGCCCAATCATGTAACAAGGTAAACCCAATATACCCTGGAAAGTATTAACAAATATCATGATATTGCCATTATCCTTGGAATGTTATTAAACTGGGTAAAGCATGAGATCTGGCTAAGTGACGTTCTCCGATTTCCAAACCAGATTACATGTACATTAAAGAACACTGTTCAATATAGTCAGTCAATCAGTGTAAACAAACAGTTGAGAGTCATGTCTCATGTCTATGAATTTCAGAACTAAAATTTCAAACTATTCTCAGATGCATTCAGTACTTGTGGTAGGAGTCAAACAGTTTAGTATAATACAGTGTCAGAGCTTGAGCCATTGAGCAACACAAATTAATGCCAGCATCTGCAAAGTGAGCATGGTTAGTTTTCAGTTATAATTTGAATCTCATAGCTGTAAGAACCTATCGTAAACATTGCACAGACGACGTTTACTCGCAGGTTGGTACATAACTATCCGCAGCAGTTCATCATTTCAATTTTTACGTAAACTGTCTCAGTAAACACATACAAAATAACTGCGTCACTGACAGCCAGCATTCTGGGTAATGGCAATGTCATCGACGGGAAGACCACTTAGTGCATGTGCATTGACAAAGAAAGAAATAAATGAAGGAAGAGAAATGGAAATTGTAAAAAAATTTCCAATTTGACTAGCTCATCAAAATGTTAAAAAAATTATTGTAGGATGGAAAACAACGAGTACTTGCCTGGAGAAGGTTGTAGTACTACTTGTGGCTGAGATAATAATGATGGTATAGATGGTTGAGACATGGGCGAGGTCATAGCTGATGAAATCACCGATGGCGACATGATAGGCGATGACATGACCAGTGACTTGTTCATCACTGCAGTATTTCCATGATTAGCAGCCATCATATTTGGAGGAGGCTGTTTCAACAAAGGTTGGTTCTAATGAGACAAGATTGAAACCACAAATGAAGGGAGAAAATTGATATAAATTTAAAAGCACAAATGAGGAGGCGAAGAGGAACATAAATTTGGGCAACTGTAAGCCTAGCAAGTAAACCAATATCGTAACTGAACAGTTATTTCAGCAATGGGAGAAAAAAACACCTCCCATTGCTTGCTAGCAGACAAGTTAAAAATACTGCAGACAACTTTAACTGAAATAATAGCACTCTGAAATCATTTATGTATCTAGAAACTAAACCACTCTGAAATCAATGCTATAGCTAAACTAAACAGAAGAAATCTGAAATCATTCATATAGCTAAGAATATTTGGTGAAATATTTGGAAGTCTCAATATGGTTAAATTGTGAGAAATATTTGAGAGTTCATTCACACTCTAAATTACTGGGGAGATGCATGAATTCATGAATCCTGAATAATATTCAAAACATTGAAATGGAAGCTGTATTGTTCACCAGCATTTAGACACCCCAGCAATTTGAGAAAGTTCAAAACCTTAAATTATTTCACACTCCCAAGACAAACAAATAAAGCTTGTTGAATGATCTCAGTATGCAAATTTGTTACAGAGAGTTGCATCTTCCTCTATGGCGGATAGGAAGAAGGGAAGTGGACTTGTGGTGTTCATACCATGGTACTGCAAAGCAGAGACATCTCTCCCACCTGATTTGGTAATACTTGTATTCTTGTAGCATTCCATTTAAACGGCATATTAGCATTGTACGTAGCTTCCACTAAGACACGGTCCCCAGCTTTAGGAGGCTGACCTTTGACACAACTGAAAAGGAATTAGAATAAATTTTAAAAGTATCAATAGTGGAAACTGCCAGCCTAAATACTGAATTTCTAAAAAAATATATTCATTTCTTGAACATTTTAATTTTTCCTGACACCTAAATTAGAGTCCAATACAATTCAACTTAACTTAATAAAATTCATGAGAAGCGTCTACTGTACCTTAACTGAAAGAAAACATCTTCATCAACAAATCCAAAGTTATCATGTAGCTTTGTGACAGTACCAGTGAATACTCGTTGCTTGGGTTGATTCTGTGAGTTCCTGGGAGTCGGATAGCTGACTGTCAGCTGAGGCTGTGACACACCTGAGGCTTGCGATATTGTCGTCACCACGTTTAAAGGTTGCTATGGAAATAAAAATATGTCAGTTTTCAGATCATAACTTACTAGTCATTAACGAGTAAATATTTCTCAGATTTGTTTTGACCACAGTTCCTCTATCACTGGTCTGGAAACGCCTATTGTTTTACGTGTGAATCAGCGGGATTAGTGGGCTAACGCTTGTAAC